AAGGCAGACGCTTAACCATCTGAGCCACCCAGGCGCCCCTTGGGCATGTTTTTTTAATCTCTCTTTAAACTCAGTGTCTTCATCTGCACCACGGTAATACCACTGACGGCATAGGGTGGTTGTAAGAATTACATGAGATTATATTCAGCACTGTGCCTGATACACAGTCATCACTATGCAACTGGTGGTTGTTCATTGGTAGTGACAGAGAAAGACAATTTAAAAAGGTATGAGAAATAGGCTTGGTCAGAGAAGGACCCAACATTGCTACAGACTTGTAGCCCTAGCGTCCTAAGAGTCCACACTCAGATTTTCTGTTTTCAGAGACTCTTAAGCGCTCTGTGCCAGTTTATTAACTGTAATGCCCTAAGGCATGATGCAAATTAAGAGAATTTTAAAATTCTGAGTAACAAACCACAAAAATTCAGGGTATTAAAAATTCAGATCACAAGCAGTTTTTTTTTCTTCTTAATTCTCCCTTTATGCATGAAATATGTCATTGCAAACTCTTATGGAATGTGAAAACATACCAGAACTCAACTTAATTTCAAATCGTAGGACATTTGAACTTAAAAACAGTGAAGTTTTACATTTAAAACAAAAATGCAAGCTTGTGTTCCCTAGGTTTTTATTGCTCGTTCAGTATTTCAAGGAAAAATGTCATTTCTTCACGAGGTAGAGTGGGCCAGTGGCTAAGTGAAGTATTGGTAGATGATGTCATGACTGATTTGTAGCCCTCCAGCAAGTTATTTGACCTGGGAAAACCAGACCCTGTCAGAGATGGGAGAAATAAAAAAGGTATGCCAGCCAGGGTGTCACCAGCAGACCTTGGTGGGATAAAATGCCGTTCAAGATTAGTATCTTTGTGCATTATAACTGCTAACCAAGTCTTGTGATGTGCATCATCACCCTGGGGCATTTCAGGGTGGGGAAAGAGTTCTTAGCCTTCTGTTAACTGATTTTTTTTTAAACTATTGGAATTCCCAAAGCCTAGAGCCAGATGAATTAAGTCACAAGTACAGGAGTCTTCCTGTTTCCTTGTCATGAAAGTACAGGGTTCATTTCATTTAAACTCGGGGACTTGCTTACTTTTCTAAGCACAGCCATCTTGACATTTCTCGCCACTCCCGGTTTTTCCACCACCTGCTGCCACCTCACCAGGGAGCTCGATGGGGCTTCTCCTTCTAACACTGCTTAAGTTCTGGATGAGCTTAGCTGCAGGAGAAGGAGGAACATGTGCTGTCCAGTCACACTTCCTACGTCGGTACATAATAAAGTATGGTGTGGAAGAAAAGAATGGAATTAGAGAATGTCAACTGGAGACCGGTCCATCCTGTTTGTAAAGTGTCTAATTAAGCTCCAGCCACACCAATAATCAATCTAATCGTTAAAGCCTTCTGCAGAGTCACTGGGAGGAGAGCTCAAATCCTACATGGGTTTGAAATAA